TGTGTGTGTGTGTGTGTAGCACTCAAACAAGAGCTTTTACGGAAGAACAAAGACGCTCTGCAGTCATGCAAGTCTCACAACCTTGCGCTTCTCAAATCGAACCAACAAGCAGAAATAGAGGTAAGACACTGGAGGCCTTATAGCTCACACTGCTGACAGGGTTGTAGGTTATTTCTCTTTTCCTTTTGGTTTTTCTAACAGTTGTGTGTTTTTTTGTTATCAGGCTCTGGAAATCCGTGTGCGAGAGGAACAAAGAATGATGGATAAGAAGATTGTAGCGGAAATGGATCAAAAAGTGATAGACCAGCAGAACACCCTGGAGAAGGCTGGAGTCCCTGGGTTTTATATCACCACTAATCCTCAGGTTAACATCTCCACCTGTCCACACCTGTCCACTCACTGTAGTTCAGATGCACTACTAACACTACAAATTGTAGGGTCACACATAATACATGCACTTGTGATGCAGATGCATGTCCAGAAGATGGCGATGTGTGTCCTAACTAACTGCCCTTCAACTGTTTCAGGAGCTGACGATGCAGATGAACCTACTTGAACTGATCCTCAAGCTTCAACAGAAGGAGTCTCAGTCTGGATTCCTTTGAGAAAGAGGTCTAAATGTGCCAAAAGAGTTAGGGGGAAAAACATTGGCCACAGAGGACGTATGCTCACATTTGTGTCAGTCAACGTGTGGTATTGGTCTCTTCAGGAAATGTTCACTTGTTATAAGTGTATTATTCACCATCAAAACCTGCAGGAGAAGGCTTGTTCTCGAGTGTCTCGAGTGTCGAATGTCGAGTGTCTCGAGTGTGTCGAGTGTCGAGTGGAGAGTCTGGGACAACATAGAATGTAAAGCACTTAAATGCCATGTCACACATTGTGAAATTAGGAAGTTGTTGAAGGACACAGTGTATATACACATTTGAGCAGAGAAAGAAATTAAACTGTAGAGGGTTGATTTGTTGCTCAAGGACACAGTTTGCTGTAACTGGAATTAATGTTGTGACCTTCCTGCAATGAGATTGTCTCTCCATAAGAGCCTCCTGATGCCTTTGGCGAACCATTTTTGGGAAAAGTAATATTTTATTGCTGTGTGTGTACACAGAGAACAAACTGAGCAGCAGTAGTGACACAGCTGAAACCTGTAACCTTCCCCAAATGTCTGAAAACAATGGTGAAAGCATTTTGGAAGGTTTGTGTAACAACCTGCTGTTTATTGAAATGGTCCACTGGACACAGCTACTGCCGGCCTCAGGATGTCGATTTCAAATGTGTAAACTAGAAACAAGATGTGAAATGTGTCAGCTCCAGTGATCTGGCTCTGCTATGAACACATTTTATTGTGAAACATTTCCTACTTTTTTTTTTCTACCATTGTGTATAATGTTTTTTTTAACTATTCAGTTTCTTTTGGTTGTGTTTATACGAGGGGTGCACATTACTGTCCCACATGAATAAACAAATAAACAACAATGAACAATTTAGTTAATGATATGAGGTACAGTATGGACTGTAGCATCAACTATTAGTATGTCCATTATATGAAGATCTGTTTTCATAAAACAAATGTCAAACAAAATGTTGTCTTCTGTAAATAATTTAACAGAATTGAGTGCTGTTGAAAGCTCATTTGTGTAGCACTGGGTTCCAAAACAATTTCACTGGGAGGCTGCCACTGCTCAACACTTCATTTAGCGCCAATTAAGATATGGATAGTTTGATTGGATGCAGCTGAACAGACGCTATTGCCCCTGTATTTATCTGTATATTGGTTATTTTCTTCACCCGTAAGGCATAACCTTTGAAATGTAGGTGTTTTCTTCAACCAAACTATAAATCTGATCCACACATTAAATTGGTAACATTACTGGCAGACCTGACCAGACACATAAAGGCTCTGTGGTGAGGCCCCTGACCACACTGTGATCTACTGTGGCCCTATATCTCCGGTTGTCCTGGAAGGGTTTTAACAGCTGTTTCTTGGTATAAAATTTTGTGTTGTATTTGTACTGTTCGATTTTAATTTTGTTTTTATAACATCCATTTGTCAATTTAACTATTGAAATACCATTTTACTGTGAACTGTTTACAGCGGTGGAAATACATTTATTCAAGAATTGAACATGAATATTATTAGTTATTTGTTAAAACACATGTCTTCGATTTTATCTTTCACTTTGCAAATATAATTTATGCATCATACTGTGAACTTTCCCCCGGTCAATATTTTTGCATATTCCTGCAAACTGTACAGCTCTTCATTCATTTACTTCAATAATGCTCATAATGTACACATTGTCTCCTTTCATATTTGTACATATTGTCTTTATTTTTTTAGTTAATATTTTCCTATGTTGTTATGCACCCCTATACCAAGAGTTGCTGCCACTAACTCGATTTTACGTACTTGAGCTGCTTATTTATGTATACTACTTATACAGCCTAATGCATGATTATTAAATGTGATCACATTCATATTCAACCCCACCCACCCCCTCCAACCCTGGGACCCCCGGCTCCAGATAATCTCCTCTCCTGCTGTAATATGGGCGGGGCGCAGTGGGAAAGCCCTTCCAGCAGGAGGAGAAAGGTGACTGTGCCTTTAAGAAGCAGTCCGGGCAGTGCATGTTGCCTTTATTCCTCAGCGCACCTTCTGCTCCATCACCAGCCGATGCGCCCCGGCAACTTCTAGCAGCCCCGGACCCGCAGCGCACACATGCCCGACCCTCAACAACAACGGTAAATGATTTCATTCCCTATGTTAGAACTGCTTATTATTCTCTTCTCGTGGCTACAAAAGGGAATTCAGTTTCACACCTGCGACGTGGCTCCGCATTTCCACAACATCCAGGAGAGAGAGGAAGTCTAACGATCCTCTTTTTAGCGTTTCCATTTTGTTATAAATAATTTATTTGGCATTAAAACGACGCTTAGTGTGCTCTCTCTCCGCGGTACGCTGTGTGACCTTGGATACATCCTGGAAACGAATATGCACAGTGAACGAGCCGTGCAGTTTATGGCAGTGGTCTTATTTCTAGAGGGGGAATAAAGCGTTACGTAATGATAACGGAGGCATCCTGTTGTCGCCATATGCCTGTCGAGGGCAGGAATCGGATGTTGCACCGCCCGGGCCGGGAGGATGAATACTGCTTCTCAGGGAAGAAAACACTCTTTTTTCGGCAGTCTAACAAATCAAACATATCTCCCATCGTGACTGCGCTTGAGGCTTTTATTTTACGCACGGGCGCGACGGATGCCTTTAAGATGACGTGGGCCAGCCCGGTGCGTGATGGGTGACCAGTTCCACACATTAAGGCCTCATTGCAAAATCTAGATAAGACAGATCAACTTAAAGTGTTAGAGAATAGACAGAGAGACTACATCTTAAAAAGGCTGACTGACTGGGATTATTTTATTTCTTTTAAATGATTTACTGCAAGTAAATATGTGTTTACATCTACTTACAAAGCATAATGTTACTATTGTACTGCAATTACAACCAGAAATGTAATATTTGGGTCTAATCTATACAATAATTCAGGAGATCTTATTATATTGACTTTAAAATTGTGTTAAATCCAAATTACATTACATGTCACCATTGTTGTCATTACACAGGCTGCAAGGATGAAGACATAATTTCCTTAAACATAGAAGCTATTCTTTGAGTAAATTGGTTTAGTATAGATTGGTTCTTCACATATGTGTCTATCAGCATTGTGTAAAATGTTTTGAGCCAAACACCAGACCTCATCCTGCAGACCTAACCACAGTATGTCCAGCAAAGTGTATTAACCAGTTTACTGATGTGACCCTCTTCTGATGTGTACCTTTGTCTTACAGGTCAGCTTCATAGACAGGTAATGGATCCAGTGTGATTGTTACAACACCATCCTGCCCAGCTGGCCTGTCTATGTCCGAAACTATGGCAACTTGTCCGAGAGGCTGCACCCCAGCGGTGCGCCTTTGTCAGAAACTGAACCGACTCAAGACACTAGATGATGACATGATGGCCACGTCGCTGAAACGCTGCCTCTCCACCCTGGATCTGACTCTGCTGGGAGTCGGCGGCATGGTGGGCTCCGGCCTTTACGTCCTGACTGGAACAGTGGCTAAAGACATGGTCGGGCCTGCTGTCATCATATCTTTCATTTTTGCAGGTATTGCGTCTCTACTGGCCGCCTTTTGTTACGCAGAGTTTGGAGCGCGCATTCCCAAAACAGGATCCGCCTACATGTTTACCTATGTCTCTGTAGGAGAGATCTGGGCCTTTCTCATTGGTTGGAACGTGATTCTGGAGAACATGATTGGTGGCGCTGCTGTGGCACGCGCCTGGAGTGGCTATCTGGACTCCATTTTTAACCACGCCATCCAGAACTTCACGGAGACACACATCATGCAGTGGAACGTGCCCTTCCTTGCCCATTACCCCGACGTCCTTGCAGCAGGGATTCTAATAGTTGCCTCGTTCTTCATCTCATTTGGAGTTCAAGTGTCCTCTTACCTCAACCATATCTTCTCCACTATTAGTATGGCCGTCATTGTTTTCATCCTGGTCTTTGGCTTTATGCTGGCTGAACCAGCCAATTGGAGCCAGAAAGAAGGAGGTTTTGCACCTTTTGGGCTGTCTGGAATACTGGCAGGGTCCGCCACGTGCTTCTACGCATTCGTGGGCTTTGATGTAATTGCGTCCTCAAGTGAGGAGGCAAAGAACCCACAAAAAGCGGTTCCCATTGCCACTGCGGTCTCCCTCGCGTTGGCTGCAACAGCTTACATCCTGGTCTCTACAGTGCTCACGCTAATGGTACCCTGGCATACACTGGACCCCAACTCAGCTCTGGCAGATGCTTTCTTCCGCCGCGGTTACAGTTGGGCAGGAGTGATTGTGGCAATAGGTTCCATTTGTGGTGAGTGTCAACTCTTAATTGAGAAGGACAGTTCAAATGTCTGTTACATGGTTGCATTGTAGTATTGCACAGTGCTACATTTTTACTTTATGACTCTCTGTTTCCATTTCTAGCCATGAACACAGTGCTGCTCTGTAATCTCTTCTCCCTCCCTCGGATTGTGTACGCCATGGCAGAGGACGGGTTGTTCTTCTCCATTTTTGCACGGGTCAATCCCGTCACCAAAGTCCCTGTCAATGCTATATTGGTCTTTGGGGTCCTCATGGCCACCATGGCTCTCATCTTTGACCTGGAGGCCTTGGTTCAGTTCCTGTCCATCGGCACCCTCCTGGCGTACACCTTTGTGGCAGCGAGCGTTATTGTGCTGCGCTTCCAGCCTGAGAAAACCAACTGTAAGGGAACCGCTTCCACATCTCCCAACCCTAATGCTGAGCCTTCCCCTGCCCCCTCAGAGTCTCAGACCATAGCCGAGGACAGTGGGGAGCTGAAGCAGTACGAGTCCTTCTCTGACAAACTCCAGCTGGTGGAGAGGCAGACGATGAGAGAGCGGCGTGGGGTAGGGCAGCTGAAGGCCTACTGGGAACCCTACCTTGGCAGGCTGGTGGCGGACTGTGAGCCGGGCGAGGTTGTGGCTTTCTGCGTGCTGACTCTGATCGTGAGCTCGGTCTCCCTCTGTGCTGTGATAGAATTTGGAACCAAACAGCTGCAGCTGCCTATCTGGAGCTTCACCATGCTGATTGTGATTTTTAGCTTAGCTTATGTTCTCAGCCTGGCACTCATATGGATTCACGAGCCACAAACCAACAGCAAAACATTTCAGGTCAGCTCCTTTGTGGTTTTTACAACTATTACACAACTATATGTGTAATATGGTGATTGAATACTGCTATCTTTCACTTGTATTTTGGTCAGCAGATTAAATTATATTCTATAGTCCTGGCAGCAACAGTTAATCTCAATTAAATAAATCAATTTATTTGAAGCCAAATGTTATTGTGTGCGTAAATTATGATGGGTGTATGACTGATCTTTCATTTTATTATACAGGTACCTTTGGTTCCATTGACTCCAGCTGCCAGCATCCTCTTTAATGTGTTCCTCATGATGAAGCTCAGCTCTTTAACCTGGATTCGATTCACCGTATGGATCGCTATAGGTAAGAAGAAACCAGACCTTATAGGGAACATACTGGCTGAATAAAAACTTTCTGTTGCAGTGTTCCTCAAACATATTCCTGCAAAACATACATTGTTTGCTCAACTGTAATATATAAGTTGTTAAGGTAATTTTGGTTACTTAAAGGCAGACGAATCCACAGTGCAAACATCATGTGAAATGAAAAGTTGTTCAAACATCTGCCTTCTGCTGTTTGCGAACTTAATGTACACACGTGTTACATCATCAGATTAAACATTTTCTGCTCTCTTAACGAAATAGAGAAACTTTTCCCTTTTGTCAGCAACCCTCTTAGGATGTAGATGGTGGTCAGGCAGCGTTAATGCCCTGTCAGTAAGAGGGGGGGGGGGGATCACTGGGGAAACATGATTAGCTGCATTAGCTTAAGGGTTCTCTGGACCAGTAAACCATTTAAACACTGCTGTCAGACTGCAGCAAGTTAACAAGATGCACAAGCATGGAATAGTGCACTTGACAGGGCCCATGGCTGGGCTCTTTTCATTTCCCTGGAGAAAGGAAAGAAAGAAACGGCCACTTACCTTCCATAATGGCCACTGAAGGACGAAAGCGTGGGATTTCTTCATTCCACTCAGAGATTGGGTTGAGTTAAAGCCAAGTAATCAATATCACATCAAAGAGTAAATACAAATTGATGAAAGTACTGTATAGTAAATATAACACTTTAGACATATTGAGGGCTTCTGAAATACAGTAAATATTTTTTACCCTACTAGTGGCAATGAAAAAATCTGCATTAACAGTCTGACACTTTATCTGGTATCAAAATTCAATTTGTCTAATATTTATTATTTAATTTATGACAAAATCAACGACTATATATGCAAAACCAACCACTCCCATCAGATGTAACTTTGTGCTGCGAAGATTTTTAAAATTAGCCAATCAACAGCGAAAATAAGTTGCCATGTAGTAATTACCTTGCTTTTCTCTGTTTTATACCACTATTAAACTGTAATATCTTGGGTTTTTTGAACTGAGAAAACCAAGGACATTTAAGGCATCACCTTGAAAAAAACATTTTTACTATTTTCTGACATTTTATAACAAAACGATTAATCAGTCAGTCAATCTAGAAAATAATCAGCAGATTAATCGATAACAAGCCATATTGTGTTTTTTGCTAATTAGCAAATGTTAACATGCTAAACTATGATGATGTTCAACATGTTAGCGTTGTAATTGTGAGCATGCTGACTTTAGCATTTAACATTTAACATTTATTTTATTTAAAAATAAAAACAACTACAACATAAACAGGAGAAGCAAAACAGCATAAAAAAACAAGTGGGCCAATGGAAACGGAGAAAAAAGGGGGATGGGGGGTGATAGATCGCGGATTATAAGCAGATTTTAATACAGGGGTTTTGAGTGCGGTTTTGAAAGGTGGGAGTGAGGGAGAATGTCAGAGGTGTTGGGGGAGAGTGTTCCAGGTGGAGGGGGCAAAAAACATCAAAGCTATTATAATCAGTCTGTCCATGGGTTTTTATGACACATATACATTGAATAACATAAAAGTCATCAACATTTCCCAAACCAAACCTTTTAATCCCACGCGGAGACACTTGGCATGGCCAGACTTTAAGTTTGAGTAATTCCAGTTACAAATGTTTCTTACTGTCCCTTTCCCAGGTCTGTTTGTGTATTTTGGCTACGGGATCTGGCACAGTAAGGAGGGCATGCGGGAGCTGCAGCCCAAAGACATGGCCGCCCGGTACGTGGTGCTACCCAGCGGCAGCCTGGTAGAGACAGTGCAGTCTGTCCAGCCCGATGGACAAGTGGACCACATCAACTCCTCGACTGCATCGACAGCTGAGGAGTACGCAGGAAAGAGATGATGTGTGACCAAACATAGTCAGTACTACTGCCTGGTATTATCTGTTGTCTACCACTCATACGCTGTACTATTACTCGTGTACTCTCTGTATCTCTCACTCCCTTTAGCGTGGGACCCGCCTGCCACAGTCTGTACTCGTTGCTCTGCAAATGTAAGCACACCACAGGGTGGGATGCACGCTCTCTGTCTCGTTGTGAAGCATATTTGTATATCTTGTAATACTCGAATGTACAGTAGAGAGCTTTATTACTGTCCTGTAAACTCCTAGCATCAACGTTGTGTTATATCCTTTAAGACCAGCTCTTTTCTTGCAACCTTGCCAGTTTGTCAGGATCCACATGGTTATAGGTTCAATTCGGTGCTTTCTTTGTGACAAACTGTACTTTTAGTTAAGTACACTCAGTGTTGTTTTGTTTTTTTTATGTTAACACAGATCTGGAGCTGGAAAATCAACATTCACCAAAACTGTCATTTTGTCAACAAAGTGGAATGCAACAGTGCATTTTTGAAGATATAATTTGAGCATCTTAAGCATTCATTTGTTGCATGTTTTCTTAGGTAAGCAGAGGAATGCAAAGACTTTTGTGAGTTTACATTTTTGCCTTTTTTTCAAATTCTTCTCCCCAAAGCCTCAGGAGCCACTACAGGCTGTAATCAGTTGGATCCTCTTAGTCCATCTCCTCCTTTTAGTACTCATAGATTGCCCTAAGTATAGTAGTATATAGTATAGTATAGTTTCTGGGAAATTATTTAATCACATATTCTAAGACATGTATTTATTTTTCTATTATTACTATTGATATCTTGCTTTCATTCAGATTTCATTAGCTTTTTTTCTGAGTTTAATGTTTTTGCCACTGTCAGTTTTGTTATACATGTTTTACCTCTTTTAGTCTCTATCAAGAATTTGTGTTTACCTTTTAAGTGGCTGAGCAACCCTTCAGTGCTTGACTTAATCTCCTAGATCTTGTCCCATGACCCCGTTATTTTTTGTGTCACTGATCTTGCTCTTTTCTCACGGACAGCAGCCCTCTCCCCTTCTCCCCTGTTGGCATGAGATTAGAAATCAAAGCACATAGATTACTGAGCTTTTACTTCGTATGACTGATTTCCTGGGATAACCTGAGAGATAATTAGATTATTGGATACATAAGGAAAGCACAAACCTTTTGAGTGGGAATCTTCACACACAGGGTAGAATATTTGTAGGCAGGCAGACATTGGTTGTTCTGTTAAACCTGGGATGTGCTCCATCTCTGTGAGGCCTCCATAATCCCAGCAGCAGATTTGCAGCAGTCCCTGTGGCCAGTCTGCAGCCTGACCTAGATTAGAGAAAGGCGGCACACATGTGAGAACACTCACATTATACTGATAACATTCCCACAGCCAACACTTGTAAACAATGGTGTCAATAAGTGAACATGAGGCTTTAGTTTTTCTTACATATAGGTAAATATACTTAAAAAGATGGTTTTATTCATTTCAGTTTGTGTTTGCATGTGTTACACAAGAAACCAATGGCCTTAAACATGTAATCAATGCAGACTGAATTCCAAAGTCAAAGTAATAAGTTTTAACAATTCATGCTTTCTAATTATTAAACCAAAACACGAACATGGAAGAGATCGTACAGTAGAAGGCATTTTGGCATAATTTCCAAAAGGAGTCGTGTTCAAGAGAATTTTGTACAACTTTGCACATTGAAAACTATTATCTGGTCATTTTGTGTCACAGTTATGCTTTCGATGTCAGGGCCAGTGCTGGATATTGATACTGCGGTGCTTTTTTAAAGCTGAGCGTTCTCACACCTCTTTCTCTGTCTTTTTTGTGCCAGGAAGCACAGTTATCCAATTCTTTTCTTACTCCTGAATAGAATTGTACTCTGTACTTGCACATTAAGTTCTTGAATCTTTCTGTTATAGTGTATGTCTGTATAAAATGCAAAAGACTGTGTTATAAATGAAAAATAAATGTTTTGAAGCAGCATTTACAAAAATCTAAATTGTGGAATAATCTGACAGCAGTATCACCTCCGGGAATCGCATCTTACACGCTTTTAGTTGGAGTGGGGGAACCAGCTGCTAGACTGTGTTTAGTCCAGAGGGTAGAATAAGACCTACACTACAACCAGCATTGGTTTGGTTCTGTTCTGTCATAAACAACTAACATATAACACCCTTAAATATTCACAAAAAGAAGAAGACAACAAAAACAAAGGACACAAATTAATTCAACATGAAACCGAGACCCACCTGGAATAAAATATAAGAAAAACATATTATGCATAACATTTCTAGAATGATACAGCATAAAAAACCCTAAAAAATAAGTTATTTCCATAGTGATCGTGGCAACAACAGGACTGCTGTGTTTTATGTTTAAATATTCATTTGAGGAACTATCTAATGCTAACTTCTGGTGACTTTAGGAGAAATCTACAGATGCAAACAGACAAGTGTAGTAAAATATACACCTAAATGTGTAGTTTGGCTGTTTTCTTTCCACCAGTCTGATAGAAAACGTGTTATGGAAGCAAAATAGCCCAAAGTCTCAAAATTGACCAGTGCATGGAAAAACGTTTTGCCTGTAGTGTCTCTCCGTAAAACAATGAAGTACTAATGAGTACATCTCTTTTAAAAAACTGTAATAGACTGAGTTTTTCAAATCATCTGTTAAACTGTTCTAAATTTTAACTGCCACACAATAAATATCTAGGAGTTTTGACTGAATTTTGACTATGTCTGGTATTATGCTGGTTGTTACTGACTTACTGCTCAATACTAAACCCTTATTAGCAATTGTAACCATTCTATTGATTTCAAATCTCTATTTAAGTGTTTATTTTATTGTAATCAAAAATGTATATATGATCTTATTTTGTACAATTTCCCTCAGACTGCATCATTTTGCTGCTTGGAGAGACCATAGAGATTACATGTATAGTCATTTCTTGATTTCTATTTTTAAGAAAACTATAAACTTCTGGACATCTTTTAAACCAGAGACATTTTGATTAAATAACCCATACAAGTTCTTGACATGTAAATAGTCCACATTTTTCTAAATAAGAATTCTTTGGGCATTTTTTGCCTTTATTTGGATAGTGACAGTTTGAAGATAGAAAGGAAACTGGGGCGAGAGAGAAAGGAAATAACACACAGCAAAGGGCATCAGGTTGGCATCGAACCCAAATAACTGTGGTGAAGACTCAGCCATTGTATATGGGGCCCCAAAAGTATTGATTATTGTTTATCAGTACAACAGCAATTCTCTCTTCATTGCACAACTTGATTTTAGAATATACATGACACACCAACAGGACTAAATGCCATATAAGCAGCACTGATATAAAGAGCTTAAGACTAACTTCAATTACATGCTCGATGACATAACTGTATAGTTAAACCAATTTAGGGCTTAACCCTTCGGGTCAAGTGCTGTCGTTTAAGTGAATGAAATGATAGATCAGGTGTTTGTTCAGTGAGAGTTTGCAGTTAGTTTTCAGTATTTGACAGGTTGATGAACACACAGCTACAAGAACAAATACAAAATGTGTTTGACTTCAACAGCTCTGACACAAGCTAAGTCTCTTGGGCTCCCTATTAGACTCAGATTACAACTGAGCTCCTGACATCTCAAATTTCAGCTCTGCAAAACAAGCCTCATGACGTGTGGTGCAAATACAAAAATGAGAAGTGTCAACTCACAGTGATCTGGATGTGGTCTTCATCTTGGTGCACTATTGAGGATTTACTGACACATTATCATTTAGGGACTGAAATAAAAGGTCTGTGGTGATTCAGCAGAGCATGAATACTGCAAGCACTTGCGTTTCCATGGCAACTCTCATTCCCCACCTTTGTCAGATAGCACTATAAAAGCTGTCAACACACCTGTCCCTGTGTCTTTGTTTGTGTGGCATTCAAAGTTGTACAAACCGCCCATTTACTCAGAACCATGTGACTCATCCGCTGGGAAGGTTACCCATTCAGATACAGGTTTGTTTGCAGATCATATATCCAGAAAGCTGATATGCAACAGCCACCAATGCACTGTTTTAGTCTTACTTCTATATATCCACAGTAAGTTTATTATATTCATATTCATATACACATAATGAGATATGCACTGGTAACTGTCATAAGTGTACATAATGACATGACATTAATGTAGGGAAAGTGCCTTTATGAGCCACGTAGCTGTTGCCAAAGATTCCTTACACGAAGCTGAGTTCTTTCTCTCTCCATCTGTAAGACTTTCATTTCCTCCTCTGATTCGAGCTCCTGGACTGAGAAAGGAGAGAAGCATTGCGTGTTCTCGTGTGACTCTTAGCAGCAGCGGAGCCCGAGTTGAGGTGGAGGGTTTGAAGGTGAAGTTGCAGGGACGAGGGGGAGGCGGCGGCGGTGGACACGCGATCCTCTGACCCAGTTGACTCCAGACCACTTTCCCCCCATCTTGCTTCCTTCCCTCTGTTACTGTATCCCAGCCGCGTTGCACTGCTGCTCTGCCTGTGGTACAAAGGAGGAATAAGGCGATAGTGGAAACACGGTTGGATGATTAAGCATTTAAAAAAATGTATGCTTCTGTAACATTTCTAACAAATCGAACTTACAAGCGGCTGTTCTGTGTTTGTGTCGGGTGATTTTGTTGTTTTTCTGCTGGTGTGCTGAGCAGAGGTGACGCCTCCTATTGATAGAAAAGTTGTACTTTTTCTTCAAGTTCATTCATGTGTAATACACATCAATTCACATATTCCCACACATGTAAATTTGAATCCGTCCTACCCTGCTGGCATCATTTTGTGTCCTTTCCCTCAGTTTCACAAGGCTGGTGTGCAGGGTGATGTTTTCCTGCTCCAGAACTTTCATACGAATGTTGTTTGCCTGCAATTGTCGCTCCATATCCAAAAGCACGTTTCCCGTACCTTGAAAATACACAATAAACAACATGAAAACACATACAACATGTCTTCAGTCCTAAAAAAAGGAAGCAGCTAGGAAATAAATGACCAGATACGTTATTCATACTTTGTTTTTCCGAGTAGTGCGTGTGGTTTCTGTGTGTATACCAAAGAAAAAGAAGATAGCTGGTGCAAACAGCACTGAGTCTTATGTACATACGTTTAGGTAATGTCAGTGAGTAATTCATGCAAGATGCTAATATTTTACAGACAGATAATAAATAACTGCCTACTCTGTGGTTGGGCCTGCAGGGGGCTGAGCTCTGGGAACGCCACCAGCATCCTCTCCCTCTCCATCAAGGTTTGCACATATTCCTTCAGCTCAGCCACGCTGTTCTTTAGCTCGCCTACGTGTGTTTCTAGTGTCTGTTTCTCCTTCTGGAGCTCTAAACACAGGTCCTGTTGGAAAGAAGCATCACAGCATGAGGTTTAAAAGTCTTTATTATGGAAAATGCTGGCCGTTTGGTACTAAAGGGCTACCTGCTGTTGAGCGAGCTGGGCCCGCACTTGGTCCTTCTCCTCTGACACCTGTTGCAGCTGATTGTGCAGGTCGATCTGTCTCTCCTCTCTCTCTCCCAACTCCCTCTGCAGCTCTTCACACTCTTCGTCGAGAGCGTCAACTCTCTTTAACAAAGATGTCTGCTTGGCCTGCATCGACTGGAACAACAACAACAAAAAAAGAGTCCGTGGTGGGGGGGGTCATGGTCTCCAGCTGAAAAACAACAAGTAATCCTGTGTTTGTCATGACACTGACCTCTTGCTGGCGACAGGCACTGTGGTACTTGGCGGCCTCTTTGTCAAGGTGGAGCTGAGTGTCTGAGATTTGACTCTCTAGCTGCTGGATCCTTTGCTGTAGTTTACAACGGGCGTCTTCCTCAACGTGAAAGGTCCTCACTTTCTCCTGCAGCACATTCTTCTCACATTCTAGCATACAATAAAGTGACACATCACACATATCAGGTCATTTTATGTGTATGACTAAAACATTTCATGCAATTCTGCAAACTATGAATATTAAAAGAAGGGTGGCTTGACGGTAAACTGTCCTTACCAAGTGCTTCTAATGTGTCTTGCTGTACTGCTACTTTCTCTTTCAGTCTGGAATTACTCTCCTCCAAGCTCAGAGTTTCTGTTACAAAAGTATTACAAATATTAGTAGTGTGATCTCACAGAGTTCCCATCATATTTATTTGTGAATCTTCTGCACCTCTCCTGAATTGTTGCTGCTCCTCTTGCAGCCTTTGCTCTGTTTGTTTCATTGATCTCTGTGCTTTCCGCAGTGAAAACTCCAGCTGGACTATGTTTGCTTGGTGTTTTTCCGTCTGATCCCTGAACTCTTTCTGCGCTCTTTCCAACCGAGACCTCAATCTCTCCCGCTCCGCTTCTGCTGCCGCTAGTCTATCATTCAGAGGCTGCACCGTACCCCGCACATCTTGAAGGTGCTTTGCCAGCCGTCGCAGGTCCCTGAGCTGCTCATTGGCCCACTGGGCGACATCACCTGCTGTCATATGTCCCAGCTCCAGGGTGTCCTCCACTGCTACTAAGAGCGGCTGAAGAGATGAGGGCAGGCCCTCACTCCGGAACAGTTCTATCAAAGCATCTCCTGTTTTTCTCAATATGGATTGGACTTGGTGACACGCATCGCAGGGAGCAAGGGATGATTCAACCGTCTGGCTGCTTACATTGTGGCTGTTGACTTTAGGATAGCTGTTGTGGCTAGGGCTGGAGGGGACGTGATTCTGGGGGAAAACTTGTGGCGAGGAGCTTTTTGAAGACCGGGCAGATGAGCAATGTCTGCAAAAGTCACTCCTTGAGCTCAGTTGGTGGGAGACAGATGACTCCGTCTCATCACTGTCAAATGCCTTTTCTTTTGTCTGCTTCTTGATGTCTTTGTAGCCTCCCTAAAAAAAAAGATAGGAAAGAAACTAGATCCATCAGTTTGTTTATATTTTTGCCTTTTTTAAATTGTTTTATCTTCACTTAAATCAAGCAGTTTGCCTACCTTAAGGCTGGCAAATTGGACTAAATTACTCCAGTAGTTTCTGACAATAAGACCAACTGACAGGCATCCTCTCTGCTGGGTTTGTTCTCTCCTGTGGCTGCAACTAATTTGCTCAACATAAGCATTGAAGCTTTGTAGAAGAAGCAGCAATCTTGTCCAGGAAGAGGAGAGAAGAAAGACAAGGCTTGTTTTAGTCATTAAGAGATATTTGTTAATGTGACATACCTGTAAATGATTTATTCTCAGAAAAAAAAACATGTAAATATCATCAGTCATACACAGTAATGTAAATATGTGTGTATGTGTGTGTTGTTATTGTTCTTCCTGTATGTATGCCTATTTTTGTGTATGTACATTAAGAGCAATGTGTATATATGTGTACCTGCTCAGTAAAAGTGATGTTAGGCTGTGTGTTAATTCAGTTTAATTCAAAGGGGCTTTATTGGCATGGAGAACAGACCTTTACATTGCCAAAGCAAGTGTAAAATAATGTATATACAGACTAATAAGAAGAAGAATTTAAAATAAAGTAGAGAAAAATAAAAGTAGACTTAAATAAGTGAGAACTTTCATGTTGGGCAGCAAGATATGCCATCATGCACAAATCTGTGATTACAAAAATAAATGCCCCCTTATATGATCAAATATGTGACATTATTACCTGTCAATCACCAGCTCCAGTAACACAATGTGGGAGTGCTGGTTGAATGCATCCTCCCCATCCACAAAGTCATACTGCTCCAGTAGAACTACCATGTCCAGATTACAGGAGAGTTTATCGGGGAACTTCCAGGAGGAGAAGCGGACCGGTCCGGTTCTAGAAAACACATCCAGGGTCGCACCTTGAAGGTCGACGAGGTCTTTTCGGAGGCTTTCGATACAGTCCTGGCGGCCCAAGAACTCACTCATGTCTCACAACCTAGTTTCTTTCTGCCTGACACAACAATGAGGGGGGGGGGGCTTGTTGTCCACGCATCTCCCTGGCAACTCCGAACGTAATACTACAAGTCCCATAATGCTTTGTGGCGTGTTTCCGGAAGTAATAGACCTCCATTGGGTCAACGATAGCACGACGCGGTAAGTGCACAACTAGTAGCAAATTTAGCCTTTTAGCCGGTGTAAAATGCGTTTTCTTACATAATATGCGGTATAATAAGTGTGTTTAAAATACGTATGCTATTTTTGTCGGTTGGGTGTTTGCAGGTAACTTCCAGTTTCCCCAAAAGAAGACACAGCCATGCCGCCTGGGCCTGTTCAAATTGTTCAGCCGGAGTCCAACAACAAGGTGATTGTACTATATACGTGCTTCTACTGTGGGGGGGGCAAACTAATGAACAGTTAACTTACACTTTACCTTACTGTGAAATGTCTCTATGAATGTGAATTTTTGAGGAGATAACGTGGATAACCACCACGAAGCGTAAAGCCTGTTCGCCTGTTTGTTAGCTTTGAGCGTCAATTCATTTGATGTTTTGAGATAAAGTTAAACTGCGGAGACTTCTCTCTGCCACAGCTGAGGAGTAGCAGAATTTCGTGTGTTTGTTATTTTCTAAAGAATATTATTTAGTTAATGTTAAGTAATAACTTAACTGTTAGATGTAAGTAGACACCAGCTCCTCATGAGGGCTTCTACAGTGAAATATGTGCATTATCCACAGTAACCAGGATCTTTTTACCAGAAAGCCAGGGNNGTAAACCCAAGTAAACTCAGTTTATCCACCTCTTCAATATAAGCCTGAGAGCTTACTTACCTGTTTTCAGATGAAGTGTATCTGTATTTATCACAACATCCCTGCCAAGAAGTAATATTGCTCCGACTGCCACAAACCAAGATCCATTTATCCATTTTGTATCAGGATGGTGGCAGAAGCATTACTATCAGACAGCCCAAAACACCTGCAGACAAAACTAAAGCTGGCATGATACCAGAAGGATTTTGTGATTCAAGCTTATGTGTTGGTAGTGGATCAGGAATCGTAGATGTGACATGGCCATGTTAAACGTCTAAATGCAATGGATGCTTATGTAGTTGGTGAGCTTGTTTTTTTTAAATTTTTTTTTACTATTTTCTCGCATCTAACGAATGTAAATTTTGTCAACAGAACGATGCACCATCAGAAGAAACCCCGGCTACCAAACCCATCGTCGGTATCATATATCCGCCTCCTGAGGTCCGAAACATAGTCGACAAGACAGCCAGCTTTGTCGCCAGGTTAGTTACCCCACATGTGTCCACTGTACAGTCTCATTTGGATCGTATGTCTGTGATTGAACTAATTCTGTGTCATTTTACAGGAATGGGCCTGAGTTTGAAGCAAGAATCCGTCAGAATGAGATCAACAATCCAAAGTTTAATTTCCTCAACCCTAATGACCCCTACCATGCCTACTACCGTCACAAAGTCAATGAGTTTAAGGAGGGCAAAGCGCAGGAGCCGTCTGCAGCAGTGCCTAAGGTCATGCAGCAGGCCATGCAGCAGGCCCAGCTTCCTCAAAAAGTAAGACACTGCATTTCATTCTGCTCTTACTTTTAGGGTTTTTTATTGCACATCATTTGGAGAATTTGTTCATAACTAATGTTTGCTTTTGTCAATAGGTGCAGGTGATTCAAGAGACAGTTGTCCCCAAAGAACCACCTCCTGAGTTTGAGTTCATTGCGGATCCTCCATCAATCTCAGCATTTGATCTGGACGTTGTCAAGCTCACTGCCCAGTTTGTTGCTCGCAATGGCCGCCAGTTTCTCACTCAGCTCATGCAGAAGGAACAGAGAAACTACCAGTTTGACTTTTTGCGGCCACAGCACAGCCTTTTCAACTACTTCACCAAACTGGTCGAGCAGTACACTAAGGTGACCTGACAGATTGTGCCTGTCTGATATTATTGTTGCTCTTTGTTTGGGCGGTGTTGCTAAACTGTATCTCGATCTTGTCTTTCAACCTGTAGATTCTGATCCCTCCCAAAGGCCTACTGACCAAGCTGAAGAAAGAGGCTGAGAATCCAAGAGAGGTTATGGACCAGGTAATCCCCGTAAACTGTAACTGTTCATCAGAGTAAGCATTAAATAGCATGTTGCCCATGTTAATGAGCTGTTCTGCTGCACCACCATCAGGTGAGGTACCGTGTTGAGTGGGCAAAGTTCCAGGAGCGTGAAAGAAAGAAGGAGGAGGAGGAAAGAGAGAAAGAACGCGTGGCATATGCCCAAATCGACTGGCATGACTTCGTAGTGGTTGAGACGGTGGATTTCCAGCCCAACGAACAAGGTAATATAACCACAATAATTCTAATCTATAAATGTGCAAGTTAAATGCAGCAGAACAGAATACTTTATCTGTATTTGGCATCTCTCCCTCCTCAGGCCACTTCCCCCCACCTACGACACCAGAGGAGCTCGGCGCTCGCATCCTGATCCAGGAGCGCTACGAGAAGTACGGAGAGAGCGAGGAGGTGGAGATGGAGGTTGAGAGTGAGGATGACGATGACGATAGGGAGACTCGGAACAGCGGCCAGCCCTCACAACCTGATCAAGACACACAAGTGCAGGACATGGATGAGGTAAGCTGTCCTTTTATGACCAATTGTAGGCTGCTTTATTGCAGTAACCTCATTTATGTATTGGTTTGTTGCCCCTGTTCCTGTGCAGCCTTTGTTTGCTCACCTTTAGCTTGACAAAGAAATAAAATATGTGCTGGTAACCACATCTCATTCTTCCCTTCCTGCTTTCCTCAGGGATCTGATGATGATGATGACGGCATGAAGGCTCCACTGCCACCAGACAACCCCATGCCGCCCCCACTGCCCCCAACTCCAGACCAGGTTATTATCCGCAAAGACTACGACCCCAAAGGTAACGCGTGCTTTTATTATATAAGCAAATTCCAAGTGCATAACAAGCTATTACTATGTACAGTCTGTCTCATGATGTCTTTTCCTCACAGCTTCCAAGCCTCAGCCCTCAGTTGCAACTCCAGATGAGTACCTCATCTCGCCAATTACTGGTGAGAAGATCCCAGCCAGTAAGATGCAAGAGCACATGCGTATCGGTCTGCTGGATCCGCGCTGGCTGGAGCAAAGGGACCGCAGCATCAGAGAGAGGCAGACCGAAGATGAGGTCTACGCTCCTGGTTTGGATATCGAGAGCAGCTTGAAACAACTGGCTGAGAGGCGTACCGATATCTTCGGTGTGGAAGAGACAGCCATCGGTAAAAAGATCGGTGAAGAGGAAATCCAGAAGCCAGAGGAGAAGGTGAGAGCAGTTGTGGGTTTGTGTTGCTCAGTTTGGGCTTGAATGAAATTGAGTCACAGAGTTTTGATCTTTAAAACTTTAACGTTACCAGGTTACTTGGGATGGCCACTCAGGAAGCATGGCGCGTACCCAGCAGGCTGCACAGGCCAACATCACTCTGCAAGAGCAGATCGAAGCCATTCACAAGGCCAAAGGACTGGTGGGAGAGGATGATAATAAGGAGAAAATTGGTCCAAGCAAGCCCAGTGACATTCATCACCAGCCTCCGATGCCCTCCAGTGCATCCATGTTGCCTAAACCCAATCCTCCAATGACATCAGTGCCCCGCCCACCCTCTGTGAGTTACTGACTTTTAAAATAAACGGTTAATTGTTAACAAAATGTGATCGTGACTTTTCAACTAATACGCTATGAACATGTTCTCTGTAAACAGTTGGCCCCTCCAGTGCGCACCACTCTCCTGTCTGCTGTACCTGTACTCCCAAGACCACCTGTGGCTCCTGTGGTGCGCCTTGCACCAGGACAAGTTATAACACAAATGCCTCCCATGATCCCCGCCTCCCGCATCAATGTGGTTCCCATGCCACCATCAGCACCTCACATTATGGCCCCCAGACCACCTCCCATGGTTGTTCCAGCTGGTAAGAAGACATTCAATATTCATATGCATTGTAGAGGAAAATAATACTAGTTTGGTATCTAAAACTTTTGTTAACCTTGTTCATCATTTAAAATTAAAATAACTGCTTCTCCTTCCTCCAGCATTTGTCCCTGCTCCTCCAGCACCACAACCCCCGAGCTCTGCCCCTGCTCCACCATCCCACCCACCCCCACCTCATGAGGATGAGCCAGTCAACAAGAAGATGAAGACAGAGGACAACCTTATTCCAGAGGAGGAGTTCCTCCGTAGAAATAAGGTTTGTTATAGCAGTGACATCTCATTAGTTTATTGCCAATAGTTAATGGCACAATCTGCACAGTCCAAATTCAAAATACAGCATTCAAACATTCTATTACAGCCACATTTATTGGCAGGTCTTTAAATACATAGACCCAGAGAAGACAATTACCAAATCAAAGTTATGAATTGTTTTTTAAATGAGTAAATGTTTGTGAACACAGGAGTAAAGTAGACCTGTGTATATTTCCAGTTGTGGTTTTCATTGATAAACCAACCAACTCACAGATCTTCAGTAATAGATTTAGCTGTAATACATGGTCAGGTGTCCAATTGGGCCTTTAACACACATAAGTTCATCCTGTTCATCCTGTTCTCTTGTTGTAAGTTGCTCTGTCTTAACCTGAGCCGTGATTTCTTTTCAGGGTCCTGTGGCGGTTAAAGTGCAGGTCCCCAACATGCAGGACAAGACCGAATGGAAACTGAATGGCCAAGTGCTGAATTTCACCGTCCCACTCACAGATCAGGTATGCAAATGTTGGCTTATTGTCTCCATGTTTTTAGCGAGTGTATGCCAGTGCATCTACCGCATACTAATGGACATGCAAATGCAATCTCTCCACAGGTGTCTGTCATTAAAGTCAAAATCCACGAAGCTACGGGCATGCCAGCAGGGAAACAGAAGCTACAGTATGAGGTAAACTATTCTTTTAAATCCTCTTTTAACCTTACGGTTCCTTAAAACCTTTAAATTGACTTGAGTGAATAATATGTTTTGTTTTTTTTTCCATTTTAGGGCATTTTCATTAAGGATTCAAACTCCCTGGCTTACTACAACATGAGCAACGGTTCAGTCATTCACTTGGCACTGAAGGAGAGAGGTGGAAGAAAGAAGTGAGCCATGCAGCAAGAAGGAAAAGAGTATTCTTGTATGTTATGTCCTACCCTGTCACGTTATTTTAGTTTAATGACAATTGTATTGTGCTTTTCTTACAATTTTTTTGTGAAAAGTATGATCTTTCTTTAATGTGACTGAGAATGATAAATGAATGATACTGTACACTATATGACAGGCATGGCTTCACACTATTGTTTCCGGTCTGGATTTGTTCATTATGATACACCGTATTAGTAAATTGTAAGAACATGTAGAGCCCCGTAATATTCATCCATTTAAATAAAGGAATAAACAATCCAAATCTGCTTTTGTTGCTTCATGATGTGTAAAGATAGAAACTGGTTGATAACAATGTGATTAACTACAACAACATGGATTAATGCAGGTTCAGTGGTGGCTGGCGACTTGGAAAACCAACTCACAGTGTCATATGTGACACCAGTTGGCTACTAATCTCTACTTTCTTATGTTTAACAAAAAAATAAGCAGGAAAACAAAAACTTACAAGATTTCTTGAAACAACAATTGTATTCACTCCTGTTGTTTCCAGATCCACCATACAGGCATAATGCAGAAGACAGAGTATCAAGGGTGTGACATGTAACAAGAAGTAGGTTATTGTTCAACACCTACATACAAATTGTTAAGCTACAGACTGCTTCATATTGAAGATGATCCACATTGTAACAGGCCATGTAATGTCAGACTAGATTTAAGTTTAATTACATGATCCACACCCAGCTCATGTAAAGCAGGAATATATATATATATATATGAAATTAAAGCATATTATATTATGTATATTATATATTACAACATCTAACACAATATATATAGAAAAAAAGAATATATATGCATACATACATACCATTAACAGTATATATACATACATAAAAATAGAAAATATATACATATGAGTCTAAAGTATGTTTATTATAATACAATATATGACTATCAATATGAATATATAGAAGATACAAATATCTGTATACTACAGTATATGAAAGCAGTGTAATGGATAAACAGTAATAAGTACAAACAATGTTAAGAGCTGAATCCTTGTCAGAATAATAAGATAGATAGATAGATAGATAGATAGATAGATAGACTTATTATCATTATTATTATTACTATCACTATCAACTTGCACTTTACAGTATTTGTTATCTTTGTCGTTTTTTAATGTAATTTTAATCTGTGCAAAATGAATAAATAAAAATAAAATAAATAAATATGTCATATATTACTGCACATTAGTTGGTCTAAATTGGTGGTTTGCCTGGAGATTTGCTCTGTGGGTGGATTGCAAGTGCAGGAGAAAATAAGTGCAAGTATTAAACTTTTATAAATTAAAATTATACTGTTCACACTTCTACCCTCAGGCCGGAGGTACAGAAGTTTGAAATGCAAAACAACAAGACTCAAAAACTTTCTTCCCCTCTGCAATCAGACTCCTGAACAGTTGACAATGAACCACCTCGTCACCTTACACCTGTACTTCTGTTGACAACTGCGCTCTTGCACATCCCATAGCATTCATTGCACACTGCACATCAGACACAAATTACTGTAATATTGAGTTTTTTTATTTTTTATCTTTTTTACTTACT